GCAAATTAAATGGGTATTTATTATAGCAGAAACAATTATCCTGGCACTTAGTGAGAAGCCCGGTATGCATGAGAAGTGGTAGATAAGATCAGATGTTTCATTCTGTAAACAAATATGAAAATATCCCCAATTTTCCTTTGCTGGAAGAGAGCAGAGAGGAGAGCAGAGATCCTGAGGTGCCGGCAGTGCCAGGACAGTCCATCGCGCTGCCTTCTACGAGTCACAGGCAGATCTTCTCTCCTGATAAAGCATAATAAACAAAATTAGAATAATAAAATGCTAATTTAATTTTAAAGAGGCTTCTCCCCCTTTTTTTTTTTTTAATAGGGAGTCACATTGTTACAGAGAGAACAGTTATGCTAATGATGAAGCACTTAGCTGATTTCACGTTAATATAATAAACGTTACCTGTCCTAATGTGTTGTGCAGTATCACAGCAGAATAACCGAGTCTAAAAGTCAGATTCCGTTTTGCATCATGAACCAGAATGGCAGCTTCTGCCTGCATAGTTCCATCGGCAGCGTTTTTTGGCTGTTATTTGCAGGCTGACGTCTCATGTCACAGAGGTTTCAGGCTCAGGGTCCTGTGCTCAGCACTGCGCTGCTGGGCTCTGCTTTGTGGCACTGAGCTTTTCCCTCTGCCAGCACGGCTGTGCTTTCTCTTCTGCTGTGACACGAGTGCAGCTATTTTACATTCTTTCAGTCAGGAATTTTTTTTTAAATTGCAAGAAGTCTCACACGTGCTTTCTAATAAAGCAGCCGAGGGAATTGTTTGGGTTTGCCTCGCCGTGTCTATTTTTCTGGCAGTCCGACACCTTTAACTGCGACTCAGGCACTCGCTCGGTGTTGGGCTGCGTTCTGCTCCGTGTCACTTCTGCCACAAAATCTTTAACTGAAGAATTGCCGTTTGGAAATGCAAGGTGCCTGCTCTGAGGACTTCCTGAATTCAAGTGCGAGCACACAGCGCAGGAGAAGGGGATTTTCTGGCAGAGCTGTTCTCTATGAATTGAGGAGATGCTCCCCAGCTTCCATGCGTGCCTGCTAGCAGCTGACAAGGCCACCGGTGCACCCAGCAATGAAGGCACGTTGTTTGAAAATGGCATGCTTTTTTTTTTTCCTGCACTCCGTATAAGATTGAGCTCCTTGAAATTATTTGGCTAGTATTTAATTATATTAATATCAGAGAAAATGGGGGAACGTAGATGATCGAGTAGGTCTAAATCATTTCCATCCCCGTGACACTTGTCTGAGCAGTGCGCGGCGGTGACAAATGCATCCCAGCTGTAGTCTGTGGTGAAGTTAAAGGCGAGCTTGGCCCAAGTTGTGCAAGGTTCCCCAAGCCGTGCAAGCAGAGCTCGGGGTGGGGAGAGGAGAGAACAGGCAGACTTGAGAGGTGTGGAGCAGTGGCAGAGGGACCTGGGAGACACAGAGTGGCTGAAAACAATTTTGAGTATTAAAGACGTTTTTTGCCGTTGCTGCTATTAGCATGTCAGCAGGTCTGTACTAGCACAGCTCCCAAAACTGACTTGCAGCTGTATTTTTACCTTTGCTGCCAGGTTTACATGCAGCTGGGTATCTACCACACCCTATTGTTATCAGTCAACAATACCAAAAGTGGTTCATTAATCATATCAATAACAACAATCGTGTTTCATGTAGAAAACAAAAATAAACAACTGGGGGGGGGAGGAAAGATTGATTTCTGTCCTGCATGCTAAGTTAGCATTCTTTAAATACATCTGCCAGTACTTTAATTTGAACTTCAACTCCCTGAAGGCAGTAAGACAGAATTATTTTAGTTCTTCATAAACTGCCTTCTGTGATTCATTGTTAACTCATAAAACACACTCATTTTCATGTACTTAAACAGTTAAGCCATTTTCAAAGTTGGTTTGTAATTTTTTTTGGCAACACATTTAAGTTGACATCTGAGAGATAGAAATCTACAATTAATTTATAGCCTTCAGTTTAGGTTTCGTTTACTATCAGACAAAATATCAGAAATAAATATTTTTTATCTAACGTAATGCAAAGTATATTGCGCAGTATCTAAAATAAAGCTTAGTTTTGACTGAATACACTCAAAAAGGGACCCATAAATATTAGAGAGCTGTAGTTAAGAACTTACATGACTGTTTTAAATACTATTGATTTAAACCACTGGCTGGATTTTATGAATCAAAGTGTAATTTCCAAGCTTTGGCTATATTTCTCATCGCTAAAGCACTCTCTCTGGTGTGCCTTTAGCAGCTTTCCAGACATTCAACACGGGATTAAATGATAGTAGTTACAATGATCAATAGGTTAAGACCGGTACAATCACTCTTACCGCTAATGACCTCGGTAGTAATGGGTAATAAAGTGTGGGCTATAATAGCCTATTGCTGGAGCTGCATGCCCTTTGATTCCCAGTATTACTAGGGACTAGCTACATGAAAAAGTTGGACGTTGGGAGTTAAGAGAGTGGATATATAGGCCATAATTCTTAACTATTTAAAGGCCTCCAACAGTACGTGTGCCCACGCTTGTCTGGGGCGCGTGTCGTTTTTAACACGGTGGTTTCTGGCTTGTTTGAATTTCCTTGCTCTGTAGGATGGCTTCCACCATGAGCCGGAGTTCATGGGAAGCGCAGCTGCTGCCTGCTCTGACAAATGAGAGGCTGGACCTTCTTGGAGCCACAGGCGGGGTGTGCAGATGTGGCTTCAGCCGGTAGAACAAGGTCGAGCAGAGCAACGCAGACCTGTATTGCTAGGTGGGCCTTGTTTATTCACACGTTTGTGAGTGTTTGTATACACACAGACACGTTGCTTCCCTCCCTGGTTAAGTGCTGCCGTTTGAGCAGAGCGTGAGCAGCTGGGAGATTCTTCACCGGAAGGTACGTGGCCGCCGTTCAAAGGCAGGGCCGAATCCTGAGATGTGTCCTGAGATAAATGTGCAAAGGAGCAGTGGAAGTGAATGGGAGTTGTCTCCGCGTAGCTGCTGGCAGAATGCGGCCCCGCGTATTAATCACCCGCACGTAGGGTTTACAGCACCCCACCCTATTCCTGTCTGTATCCCTGCTTGTCGTCATAAATCTGACCGAGGAGTATTTGTGTTGTATATCTTCCAAGAATGGCACAGAAAACGTACTTAAACATGCTTCCTTTTCTGTTTGCTCGGTCCGACTTCAATGTAAGGTAGTACAAACCCCAGGGTAAAGTAAACTTCTCTGGAGATGGGAATAATGAAGGTGAGTCAGGCTTCGGGGCTAAGATAGTGACTACAGCACTTAATGAAATAATTTTCTGCTCCCAGAAAAGTTCTGAACAGCGTAGGGATTAAGATCCTGTGAATTGATGGGATTCCCTGTTCCAGTAGGTCGGTGCCGTCACAGCTCGGGGCGGTGGCACCGCACTGCCAGGTTGGTGGTTCTCCCAGGGCTGCAGTCTTAGAGGGACTCTGGCTGTGATGACACCTCCCATCCTTCGCTGTCTGTTCCTCAACCTTCACACCTGCCTGCTGCAGTGTGGGCAGCACCAGGTCCGTGCTGGGGCGCAGGGGATTCGCTCCGCGCCGCGTTAATGGGATGTCAGTTTGCTGGATGTGTCTGCAGCACGTTCTGTAGGCAGGGTCTGGCCCCGGCGCATGACATGTGCACAACAACACAGGGCGATGTGTGCTGTACATAAGTCTGACCTTCAGGAACCATTTTTAGTTCATCAAAATTAGTGATGCTGAGAAATCAGGACATCAGTGCATAATGACTGTGAAATTAGGAATGAGAGCTTGCTATGCAAATGACAGGACAAATCATGTGAAAAAGTCAAGATAAACTGCATATTAAGACATTATGTTACATAAAATTAATACTGCATTTCTCCCTTGCTTACTAGTACCCAGGAAGACTTTTTTTTAAGCTCTTTTATCTTCAGATCAGCTATTGTCTGCTGATTTTTTAAAAAGTGGTGCACAGAAAAAGTGCTAAACATGTTATTACCTTTTATTGTAATCCATGAGATGACAGGAGATCCTTTTTAACAAAGTATATCCTTTACTGCTTTTAGTTTTGTGCTGTCACATATTTGATCTGAAACTATAGAAAAGTAAGGTGCTTAAATATTACTGTTAAAACTCACAGGGTTTTGTCTTTTCTTCTATTGTTTTTCTTTCTTCCTTTTCTTTCCCTTTTTTGGGGTGGAGGATAGAGGGGTGGGTTTCTGGGGAAATAGTCTTCTTGCATTACTAGGACTGACAAAATGGTTCTCATGTAGTCTGCAAATTAAACACAAGTGCAGTGATTATTTTGAATAGCTAAATTACATTCTAGAAAGCTTGCAGAATTCATAGCATTGTCATTAGGTATCCGCTTGAATACAATTTGTGTAACCTTGGCCAAGACAGCCTGTCATTTTAATGTCAGTGTTTTATCTGAACAAGACATCATCCTTTCAGATACAGTGTACAGGTTCCTTGCAAAGATGCCCGTGCAGAAACGTGTTAACAGTTGCAAATATGAAATGCTATCAAGTTCATCACTGTAGCTGTTTGTCACTGAAATGTCATGGAAAGCGGCTTTTAATGGTATCTCACATAATATGAAAGAATTGAAGACATCTGTATGCTGGGTGAATATGGAATGGTAAAGACATCGCAGTAGGGCCTTTCTGTTAAAATTGCATAGGAGTGTAGTGCTGTTATTCACATCACTGAGCCTTCCTTCAATTTTCTTAAAAACCTGTCGTAATAGGGCCTAGATCCCATCAGCACAGGATACTCAGCTCTTGAATTTCTGTACGGCAGGGAGGGACTTTCTGGGAGGGAATGCTCTGAGCTGACAGTTCCCTGTGAAAATAAATAAATCTTAACAGGTTTTGCTGTCTTGCTGTCTAAAGAATTCCCATTGTCATAATGCTCTGCAGAGAGGGAGCTGGGTGGCTGGGGAAGCGCGGGTCCCTCTGTGCTCAGGGCAGGTTGTGCCTCCTGCTGTGATGCTCCCTGACCACCATTCTGTGTCCCCTGCAGGTTCCTGTGTCGGTGGCTATGATGACACCTCAAGTGATCACTCCCCAGCAAATGCAGCAGATCCTCCAGCAACAAGTGCTAACTCCCCAGCAACTCCAAGTCCTGCTCCAGCAGCAGCAGGCACTCATGCTTCAACAGGTAATTGTTGTCTGTGCAGCCCCTGTTGGGTGGGGGGCTTTGGCTCGTGCTGCCTTCTGGCGATGATGGCTGCCCACGTCTCAGGGCCTGTACTGCAGGGCAGCCACGCTCTGAGATGAACCGACTGCTCTTTTGTTTTTAGTTCTAGAAATAGCTACTGGAAACAAATCCAGGGAGCAGTGCTAGGAGCGTTTCCAAGATCAGCTAAATAATACAGCTGCATATTTAAGTGTCAGGACTTCAGCAGATGTCCCTGTTGATTTTGCCTGCATCCCTCCGAAAGTACGGCGTGCCCTGATTAATTGGAATAAATGAAGTAGTAGGGTAATATTTCCAATTTTAGTCCTTGCTTCATCCACGTGGGGCCGTAAAGGGCCGTTGAAACAGGGACAGCGAAAGTGAAGAGGTTTGGAAGCCTTAGTCCGTTTGATTTCAGCCAACATGTGCTGCACGGTGCATTGGTGTTTCTGAGTGTCCTGCATTCATGCATGGCCCTTTCTCAGCTGGAAGTTGTGTGCTGTCCCTGGGTTACTGTGGGGTTCATGTCAGCACGGGCTCATGAGTCAGGCTGGTAAGAGCACCCAGCAGACTGCACTTGTGTGTCCCCTCCCCTCTGCCTTCGTCCCACAGTGCAGCGTGTGCGGTGTGTGGCTGAAGCAGGGAGGAGGAGAGTGTTTCCCAGAATGTCTGTGCATGTATTGAACAACACTTAATGTAGTCAAACCCTATCATTTAGAAAGCATGTGTGTTTCACAACAGAGATTCGCCAGGCTCTCTCAGCAAGGGCATTTTGGCTTTGTTGTTACAATCAAAGGTCATTCCTTGCCTTATTTTAATTAGTTTGTGTAGAAAATGGTATGTTTTTCATCAGTTCATTTTGGAGATTACTTTTCAAACGATAATGCCAAGAATAGTCAGTGTGCACTGAATTTATTGTCGAGTTTCAAACTAAAGGTCAGACCATTACAGATAAAAGGATGCTATTTTTCAAATCACAGTTTGTGTGTTACACCAAAAGGGACACTGAATTGGCTCTCCACTTTGTTACTTACCATCTTTCCTTTTCTTTGTAGCAGCAGCTTCAAGAGTTTTATAAGAAACAACAGGAACAGTTGCAGCTTCAACTTTTACAGCAACAACATGCTGGAAAACAGCCTAAAGAGGTACAGACAATACCCATTTTACTTTCAAACCACAGATCCCAGAGGACTGTCTAGAGGCTATTAAGCTGTCATTCATCTTATAAATGATGGCACAACTGAACTGACTCAATCGGGTCTCAGCTTTCAGATTTAGAGTTATTGTCCTGTTTTCGCCTGTATTTTCCTGTGCTTTCCATTTGCTTGCTGCCACATATTTTATAGCTGGGGAACACGCCTTGATGTTCAGTATGAGTACTGGAGCAAGCATCTGGACTTGTATCTTGGGAGAGTGCTTTTGGAAGTTAGTTATGTTGTAGAGGGGAGGGGGCAAAGAAGCAGGCCTAGCTCTGGGCCTGTTCTCTCCAGGCAGACAGTTCTATGAGATTTTGAGTTTGAACTTGCAGTTTTCAGCCAGAGAGGTTCTGACTGCAGGCTCCTTGCAGCATGGGCTCAGCAGAAGGTACCATGCTCGGGCAGTGTTTGTTGTGAGCAACAAGAGCTGAAATACCGAGGTAGGACAGGAATGCCATCTCATTGCAGTGTGTTGTGCCAGGGAACTGCAGCACGTTGTGATGCACAGTGTCTCGAGACCTTGCACAGAAGCCACCATGGTCTGTGCTGGGAACAGGATGGCGAAGGCGGTTTTCTGCGTGTATGGAAAACACACTGGTCCTTTCTGAGTGTCTCACTTGGTTGATTTTGGTGTGCTAAAGTTCAGAATTGCTGTAATAACACGTGAAGGTACCACAGTGGTATCTGTAGTCCCAAGGAGTTTGAGACTTCCACCTGACATCACCACTGACCACCGTAGGTCCTAGAAAGCTGCCCGCTGGCACGAGATGCTGTGCGATGCCCGCCGATAGCAGCAGTGGTTACGTTGCTGATCACGGTGCTCGAAGCACGTGCCGGTTTCTGGCCCTCCCAAATTTTGGTGGATCGTGCCACCTGTGCCAAGTTTCAACCCGGAGCGAATTTTTCCAGCTGAGTTATAAAACCCCTGAAAACAGGGGGTTTATAATGAAAACGCTGACACAACCTTAGCCATAGCGCGCTTACGGGCGCCTCTATAATAAAAAGGGAACAGATTAAAAAGTGTCTAAAATGTAAATCTAAAGGACTAACAGTAATTAAAATGGAAATGGCACAGGGAGGGAAGGCATGTAATTGTGAGATATCACTGTGCAGAATGCTCTCAGCTTTGTTTTGCTGGCTGTTTTTCTAATTCAGTAGGGCTTACTCATCAGTGGCAGTTCAATGCGCGTTAATGACTCTGGGATGCAGGCATCACTCTGGACAAAGAAATGATTATTGTGCGGTCAAAAGAAGTTCAAAGACAAGAAGGGAATTTCAGTTTTTTCCTTAGAGATCCACATTCAAGAGCATATAAATTAAGCCAAATGTTAAAAACCACAGTCTGAAAGCTGACTTCAAAGTCACAACTCTCTAATTAATGAACTGCGAGCTTCAGTTTGGACAAGTCGTGGTTTGATGCGCCCATAAATCAACATGACAGGTCTGTTTCACAGTCTCAGACAGCGCTTGTCATTGAGTCACATCAGATGTAAACACAGCAGAAAAAAGAGGGAATATGAAGGAGGTGCAATTGATCAACAGAATTGGTAAAAACCCACTTTTGAAACGCATTATGCATGATCACAGGAAATGGCGATAGCCTCAAGAGGCTTTCTCCTTCTGCTGTTGCTTTTTTGAATCAGATTTCTAACAGCCTTCAAAAGGGAGAATAAGAATTATGGAGCTTCTCCCCTGTGGCTGGCAGGCAATAACCCCCTGTTGTTATTTTGTGCTTCTTTCTTTTCAAAGGCGTCAAAATTTAGTTTTTTAAAGATCTTTAACTCTATATTTGAAGACAAACAATAAAGGGCTGCCACTGTCATTCTTATCAGTTACCAGGGATTGTATTTTTTCTTTCTGTTGCCACTTCTTATTAACCTCTTATTTGGTCTATTAGACATAGTTTTGAATGCAAGCCTGCATGCTGGGAGAACATGAAAGTTCAGATGAGCTCAGAGGGCAGATAAAGAAATTTGAAGGGGAAAGTTACACAGCAGAATGAACGATAAAAGTTAACTCTTCTAAATTGCTGTTGTCAGACAGGAGAGCATCTCAGACACAAAGATGAGGGCTTGGAGCTTGAAGAAAAATACTTTGTGTTAAAAAAGACGAGAAGGCAAGTTAGACAATGTGATGGCATTTCAATATCTAACACACTGGTTTACTGCGGTCGCACTTCTGATATTACACTATCGAAAGTAACAATAAGAAAAGACTCCTTCCTGTTCTAAGAAGAGCAATTTAACATGATAGTGGGGAGCAGAACAAGGAGCCTGAGTCTCTCCAGCTTTTTCTAGGCTCTTTTTTTTTTTTGCTGAGGGTTTCAACAGGGACCCGTTTCCAGACCAGGCTTGCTTGGCCCCATTTTTCCTGCATGGAGGAGGTTATTTTGGCTGAATTAGCATGCGAGTGATGATCTTTTTTTTTTTTCTTTTTTTTTTTTAACACGAATGACGGTGGGTCCCAAAGTGCATCGTGTGGCCTGGTGGCCGCAGTGCAGACACGGTGCGGCTTTGTGCGCTGACAGATGGAGCAGCTCTACCCATCTACGTCATTCCGTATCACGGCACGCACGGCTGCTGCTGCTGCCCCATCCCAAAAGGAGGCATACACACCCTGTGCCCACAGCCCCACACTGGAGAGGGCCCAACACGGGGGGCTCATGGCCACAGCGCTGCCTCCAGGCCCGGCTGTGCAGGACGGCTCCTGGGCACGGCTGTGTTCCTCCAGCGGTTGCGACAGTTTATGTTAGGCTGTAGGGAGGGACCGAAGAAAGGAAAACAGACCTTTGACAGCAGCTTCAGGGAGGGGACCAAAAATGCGAGTTTTATCAGGCTATTTCAGCATTTTAACACTGACTACTGACCTGACAACAGGACTGCACTGAGACCTTTTTTGTATGCATTCAATTGTGAGAAGTAAACAAACTGACTTGTATCCTGTGTTTGGTAACTGGGTGGGGAGCGCAGTTTGGCAACGCGTGTTGCTTTTAAATTCTTTCTTGGACAATGGGCCTTGTATACTTTTATATCCTGGCTTTTCAAAGTAGGGCGCGTTCAGGAGCTTTTCTTGGGATGGCTGAGAAGACAACCACAGGCATCACTCCATTTATATAAAGTCGTTTTTATGGTCTTTCTTTTTTGATGCCAATTTTGCACTCAGATGGCAAATAGGTAAAATACAGACTACTGTAATTTATTTTGTTCCACAAAAAACAAATACCACTCATATACACACACACACACACACACACACACACAGACTATGTATTAATTAAAGGTGCCTTCTTGCTCTGAAGATTCTGTGATTCTGTGTATATTTGGAGTACGAGCATCTCTGGAGGCAAACACTGCTCTAACTGCAGTACGACCGTTGCTGCAGCTCACATTCATCCAGTGCTGTTGCAACAGCTGGATCTGTCTGAGCAAGCTGTGGCAGAGAAATGGAAACTCCGAGTTCCAGTATAGCTAAACTCTTGTTTGCTTAACTGTTCTCAAAGTTATAGATTTTCTCTGGATAGAAGAAAAATTAACTCGCCTGTCAGTACAGTTGTAGGCATGCAGTTTGTTGTAGTACAAAGATCGATGGGGTGTTGAAAGTACAAAACAAGCAATAGGAATTTAATAAAAATAGTTGCTGTTGCCCTTCGCTTTGCCCAGCGATGTTTCATTTCAAGAGCAACTGGCAGTGCTGTGGCTGTGTCACGTTCAGCCTGGCAGGCTGGAGCTGCAGTGCCTTGGCAGAAGGTGGGGCCCCGGCCCCTGGCTGGTGGCCGTCAGCCCCGCTCCTCTGACCCGGGTGGATGTTTCCTGCTTGACACCAGCAGGGAACGGGGCCAGCGATCCTCTGCTGCGATAGCGGGGAAGGGCAGCAAAGCGCTCTCGGTGTGGCCAGGGTTTATTTGAGAAAGTGTGGAGTTTTGCAAGAGTTAATTTTCTTTCCGTAATTGTTAGCCATAATGTGTATAAGACCTCCACCTTGATATGATTCCTAGCAGATTAGGGATATTAGATAATTTCCTTCTATTTATTGTACTACTGCTCTGTATTATCTTTCTATCACTCAGATAATTACTAAGGAAATCTACATTAATTTTTTTTGGCTAGCACAAGGAACTGCTAAACACTGGCATGATGTATTGATGTTTTACACAACAAAAGTTTTCCTCCTGTCATTGTACAATAAATAAAAAGATATTTATCAAAACGCAAAGCCTTTCATGGATTTTAAGAACAAAGCAAATAAAACACGAGATGAGCACGGAAGCAAAACCTAGAGGCTTGCTTAACTGCACAAAATTAAGGACTCAGAAGCCTGGAGTACTGTACATATTAAACACTCACATTCAAGTAAGATGTTGTTTGCTAAATTATGAATGTGTGTAATTAAAATCTAGTGGCTGTTTCTATGAAAGATTTACAATGTTATTTCATCGTTTGTCATGGCTAATTAACAATATTAGATGAAGTTTTTCTTCTTCAAAGGTCTGATTTTTTCTCATTTATTTATGTCAGAAGTGATAAACAGAGTAGTTAAAAGCTTCTCTGGGTACAGTAGTGAGAAAAGCAACATGTTCTTTTACACCTCGAAGGTTCAAGGTTCGTGTCCCTGTGGAGTAAAGCAGCTCTGACTTCTTTATAGCGAAAATAATTAAAAATTTCAAAGCACAGAAGTAGCAGCCTTAAATACAGCAAGGAGTAATTCTGAACATAATGGTATTGTTGCTTGATGGATGGATAACAGAGAGTAAGTATAGGATAGCATGAATGTAGCCAGTCGTGTTGCCTTAATCGCTGAGATGACCCTTGCATGAGCAAACAGAGCAGGGTACAGGGCTGTTGTTGGTGACGTCCAAATGTGATGTGGTTACGTGGAGTGGCTCTTGCATTGCATTTGTTCTTTGCTTTGAAGAATTGCCCGTGATTTTAGCAGCTGCCAGCAGAATTTTGCTTTATCTGACACCGAAAGGCAGCCGCTTCTGGTGTGAAGCTCAGTCCTGTGGACTAAGAAACACTGCGTGTGTTTTTGATTGGGTTTGTAGGAGAGATTAGAAATTGACTGCCGCCCTGTTGGTAGCACCAGCTCTTAAGCAAGTCGTGGAACTGGGTGGTGAGCTCACTGTCGTTTCTCAGTACAAGTGACTATGATCAGTAGTTGCTGTGTGTTTAGCCAAGGATCCCTGTTAATGCTTTTCTCTTTGTTGACAAACGTGCATTTTTTTTTCTTTTCCAGCCCCAGCAACAGCAGGTGGCTACGCAGCAGTTGGCCTTTCAGCAGCAACTCTTACAGATGCAGCAGTTGCAACAGCAGCACCTCCTGACTTTGCAGCGTCAAGGGCTGCTGACAATCCAGCCTGGCCAGCCTACTCTGCCTTTGCAGCCCCTTGCACAAGGTAGGTGAGGGGTTGGGGAGCTGCTGAGCAAGCAGATAGCATGTGCACACCAAATTGTCACTCAGTAAGCCAGAGAGTGATCTCATAGGCTCGTAAAATAAGAAACAAAGAAAAATCCTGACTGGCAGAGTGGGCATTGTAAAGGTATTCTCGAGAAGGGCAGCGCTGAAACTGTGGGCCATGCTTGTTAGCAGGAGGCAGGCGGTTTAGTTTGGATTCATTTTGCACAGCTATATCCTGGTGAACGTGAAGCTGCTGGTTGTACTATTCTGGACTCCAAATCCTCCACGGGAGGCTTCCTAATAAAATTTTGGTGCTGGGTTCATGGCTTAGGATAGCTTGAGAGCAGCTTTTCCTTCACTTTTTTGTGAAGTGCTGTCTTGGCTCTTTCTGACTTCATGGCTGGTGCAGAGCTGGGCACGAAACAGTGCTGACCACATGCTGCTGAGTGTGGAAATGGGATTGCCCTGTTGTGCAGCTGGAAGGGGAATGTGACAGTGTCTCCTCTTTGTGCATGTTTATGTGTCCTTCCTTTCACTGCCTGTGTAGATCATAGCTTCGTTCTTCCCTCCACACAGAGGCAAATTGGGATTGACTCCATCTAATTTAAATGTTCTTATACTGGTGTTACTGACAATTAGATCCTCCTACGTCTTTATTCAGTCCTGTGCTATGTAAGAAGTCACCGATTTGCTGAAATCCCTATTTTTTTTTAAGATATTGATACATTGAAAGCAATAGCTACTCAAATCACAATACTTCTGACAGTAATTACAACCTGGATTTTTTTTATTCTTTTTTTTTTTCTCCATGGCTATATTTATTTATTTATTTATATTCCAACTCAGTTTCTCTGCGAGCTCTGGGGCATTTTAACAGGCATGCTTGAGCTCTGTCTGTTGTCACTGAAGCTGGTGGCTCAGAGTTGGCATGGCTCAGGGAGAACCAGGTCTTTCAGCCAAGATGCAGATATTTCTGAATAGCTGTGCCTTTTCTTTCCCTTTGCCCCATAATAAATTTCAACACCCACCTCAACAACTGGAGTCAGCTCAGCTTGAAATGATTTGGACTCTTCAAAGCAGCCTTAAGGCTGCTACTGGTTGCTAAACCATATAATGTATTTACATTCAGCTCTGGTTAAATGGGGTTGGGGGTGAAATTGCTTCTGTTCTTCGCCCTCCTTTTTTATGTGTATTAGAGCTGCGAAAAGGAGAGCAAGATGGCTGGTAAATGTTAACTGACATGGATAGAGGGAGAGAAAGCTGGTGAGCAGGGACTGCTCTGCCAGGTGGCTGGTGTGGTTTACTGAGGCTTATTTTTTGTTTTTTGCATGACCCACAAAGCGTTGGAGCCCCCTAACCCTGTCATGGGACACCCACACTCCCAGACTCAGCCCCCTGGTGTGCTCCTAGCTGTGCACTCCTGATACGCAGGCAGGCGGGTTGTGGCAGCAGCAGCTTCTGGCCTGGGACAGGGGTTTGTCAGTCACCATCAGTGTGCTGAGATGAGTTTGGGAAAATGGGCAGGTAGACAAGTGCCACTTATGTGTGCAGAATGTTGTAACACACATTAATTACGCTTTGGATTTATTGTTGGAAACACCACAAGCTGTTCCCACACGCCCACTGGACTCCAGCTTCAACCTTTCTAATTTTTCCCACAGCTCCTACACTATTAAGTTTGCTCAGTAGGGTTCATTGTGTGGTACATCAGTTAAGCTGTCCAAAGGAGGGCAATTGGGCAGTGACAAGACACGCTCATGTGTAATGTGAAAGAAATGAATGTGGTGATGCATGAAGTGTAATCTGTGCAGTAACACATCGGAGACACCAGTAGGTAATTCAGCAGTCGTGGCATTGATTGATACGGTTAGCAGCCAAGTGCCACTATTAGTCCTCACCGTGTTGGGAAGAAGCCTGTTTATAGCCAAGGGGTGCCAGAACAACACAAACACAAACAGGAGGGCTGGGAGGGCTGCACTGTGCGGGGAGGTGAGCTGTGGGGTGCGGCGCTGGCTGGGGAGGAACTTGGAGGATTCAGGCAGCTTGCAATCCAGCACGATTCTTTTTTATCAGAGAGACGATGGCTTAAAACTGATGTCATTACGAGGTTTAAATCAACTTTCTGCTTGCTTGAACATGGTCACCTGGGTATGGAGGTACAAGGACACAAAGAGGTTGAGCAACTCTGTTTGTCTTTGAGCTGGTGATACCTGGGGTTGGGAAATTGAGTTCCGTGAGCAGTAATCTGTCAACTGTCCCCACAACATACATTTTTTAAACCTGTGCCTACATTTTCTTTCATAATGAAGGGGACTGGTTGTCCTGAAAAATGCAACGAGGAGCCAGGGCTATAGTTTAAAATAATTGGTAATGGACACTTCGTATTTAAAAAATATATACCATCCCTTTCTGTTTTCAGAACAGTGGGCAAGAGTAAGACAGATACTGCAAGCGTGCATATAAAAAGGAAAATCCAGCCCTCTAGTTAATGTAGCTATGAATTTAGTTAAGAGCATCTTGCTTTTTATTCCTAAGTATCTGTAATAGGAATAAATGTTAAGAGAGAATGCTACTTCATAAGTGATTTTTGTTCTGTTTTTAGAACTAATACATCGTTCATAGCTGCGTTTTAGTTGGTGTTCTTGCCTACTGTCTTACACAAAATAGCACATTCTTTAATGTTATATTTGTGTGATTTTTGCTGTTCTGTGTTTAGACACACCTATAATCTAGATTTTACATCTCTGCATAGTAGCAATTTAAAAACAAACCGCATTTCAACAGTGCTCTGAGCTGCGAGAGCTCAATCTTTAGTATCTGCAAAATGAAACTGCAAATCGCACCTCAGATCACAAGCAAGTGAAAATAATAGGACTGAGACATCCCAGGGCTGATTGCTCCCATGGATCCAGCAGTTCCAGGTCTGCATCCTGGCACCGGTAGGAACCGAGTTGGGGCACAAGCAGGAGTGATCTCGGGTAACTGCAGTGCAGTTCTGGGAATCTGACATACAATTTAGTTCTTGCTATTGAAGTGAAACTGTGTAATGGTAAATTTTGTCATTTATTGTGTGTGTTTTGTTGGATCTGTTCTACTTGCTTTTACCATTTGTCCTATTATTCCATTTGACCATTTGGCCGGATGAGTACTGAGCATACCTTTCAGCTGCCCAGTTCAACAAGCTGGTTAGGAATGCTTCTCAGAAGTTTGAGGAAAGAGGAAGGAGGCTTTTTAAAAATTACTTTTTGTTTTTTAATTAATCAAGTGATACCAGTGGTGCATTCAGGTCTGAACGATGCGTTGTGAGAGGCGAGTTTGACGTCACACCTAACTCTTCTCTAACATCATCCAAGCTGAAATCCATCTTACTGTATCTATCATTTTTTTCTGCCCAAATGGGTTGTTTTCTATTTCTCCTTCAATATATGCAGTTCTCATCATTGCTAATAGGAGTTACACTTGCGTAGGAAGTCAGAACAAACCCCTTGACTTTCCCAGGCTCTACAGAGAGCTGTGAATATTAGATGTTTGTATTTTGAGCGCTGTATAACTTGCAGGCTTGTCCTGGAGATGAAGCTTGAGTCGATCCAGTAGTGACTGGGAGGGAAGGGAAAGGGGAAAGGAGAAGCAGAGGTGGAGAAAAGAGAGAAGTGCTACTCCCTCAATTAATAGAAGACTCACCCACAGATCCGAGAGAGGGGGCGCGTGGGGGGTGGGGAAAAAGGCAAAGAATGACCGCCTTATTTGCTTATTCTCGAAAATAAAAATAGGTGTCGACTCATACGGTCTCATATCAATATGTTATCATCAACAGACAAGTCTATTCACTATTGTTTCAGTTGAGTAAACAGTGGTGTAAGGGTCAGCCGCGCTCGCAGGTAATTGTTAGTGCGCAGACAGTCCTGTCAAGCATGTTAGCTAAAAATACATCCCACACTGTCACTTTGCAAGGTGTTTGAAAATAATAGCGCAGATAGAGCAAAACAGGACATAGGCTTGTGTACTGACCTTTCTCTTTGTTTAATTTGCTCGGAGGTTTAATTTCAGGGGACAAGTAATAATTGAATACGTCTAATAACTAAATGCTCATTTGGGACAGAATCCATCAAAATGTAATTGGCGTTTGGTTCTTATGAAAGGAAAATGACGTGGCTTTGGAGAAGCGGATGTGTCCTAAGAATATCTGATCACTTAATGTATAAATTGAAGCCTCTTTTATAATATATATTAATTGCAGATATTTAAGGATTTTAGCATTTTTTTGTAGTGAACCGTTACCAGAGACCAACTGTTTTTGTTAATGCTACTCTCAGAAAGGCGGGGAAGGTTATTGGTCTGTCGTGCAATAATTTACTCCTCTTTGATATGCAAACGATCCACGGTGAATATAAAAAAATCCTATCAGACTCATTTCACAGTTCTTAACCACTTAGATTCTCTGGAGTCTATCGCCTCATTAGACCAGTGCTCTCCAAAGCTAGCATAATTAAAATCTTTAACAGTTTAGCAAAGTAAAGATGTTTGGCTGATCACGTTGAGATGATTATCTATCCATTGTATTCTAAATGACAAAAATAAATTAAATTTAGACCTTGGCATTTTTTATTATGTGTTTCAAATGAATATAATGCATACTGCTTTTTTTTTTTTTTTCCTCCTATTTCAGTTCCTTAGGTTTGGTGAGATGTGTGGCTATTGGAGCTGCTGCCATACACTCAGAAAATGGCAGATTTCCTCAGGATAGCTCCAGTGCCACAGTTTGCCCCAACAAGGAGCAGTCAGCCAAACCATCTCAGCGCACGCTGATGAGAGACCTCTTTAAAAACATGCAGACTTTTATCATTTCTTTTGGTCTGCATATTTAAGTGATGCGTCTCTGCTGCTCATTTTTTTCCAAAGCCTTCTGAAAGAGCACTGAAATAGTCTTCGCTTTGAGAACCTGACTTGTCTGATCGTGTCACAAACGTAAGCTTTATCCAAACCCGTGATCTCAGGGGGAGCCCATGCCATGCTGACGTATGTGTCCCTGTGCTCCAGGCTCCACTTCATGCCCATGGAGTTGGCAAAGTTCTCGCTCGCCCTGTCTGCTGAAAGCTACATGCATGTCCCAAGCCTGGTATCCATTTTGGCACAATAGAAAACAATTTTTTTATGTATTTCTTGAAGCTTATTTTATGTTTTCGTTTTACTTTTGAATGGCTCATTAGCATTGATCTAAGAAATGACAGTAATAATAGTGTTACTTGTATAGAAAGTTATACAGTTTTTCAGTAGACACATCCATCAATTAAGTGAGCAGTTCGAGAAACCAAAATTAATGAGAAAGATAGGTGTGTTAATGAAATAATCATAGTATAATCAATTTGACTGTTAAAATTTGAAAAGCATTTCAGGAAGACAATATGAATTCATAATTTATGTCTAAAAGTGATTAATAAAAACTGTATTTAATAACAAAGCTATTTGTCATCATTTAAAACTTAAGCACAAAATTAGTCATATTGTGGTTCCTGTTGTCATAATAATAAAGCTGAGGGGTTTTTTTCCCTCGGATCTCCCTTCCTTTTAAAAACAGTTAGGCAGAATTTACTTTCGTTAAACAATAGAAAACAAGCTGACATGAGGAGCAGCCCTCGGCCGCCCTTGGTTTGATCTTGGGGATTTCTGCCCGAGTGGGGACTGGGCCCTCTGCTCCAAAAAGGACAGAATATAACAATCACCCAGCTGCTGATGGGGGTGTTGTGTGGTGTGGGTCTCCTTCCCCCAGCCCCAGATTTTGCCTTGGAAAGGCGTTGCAGGTAGCACCCCACAAAACACAGCAGGAGATGTGCAGTGTTCAGGATTAGCCTTCAGTTAATAAAAAAAATTACATGCGTGCAAACACACACACACAAAACTAACACTAGGCTTTGTTTACTGACTCTTTGATTTAATTACTGTTTGAAGACGGCCGAATTAGCTGTTAATTGATTTAATTATCCAATTTGTTTGTTTCAGGCATGATTCCAACAGAACTGCAGCAGCTCTGGAAGGAAGTGACAAGCTCGCACACAGCCGAGGAGGCAGCCAGCAACAACCACAGCAGCCTCGACCTGTCCACCACCTGCGTCTCCTCATCCGCACCGTCTAAGACCTCCTTAATAATAAACCCGCACGCGTCAACCAACGGACAGCTATCGGTTCACACTCCTAAACGGGAGAGGTAGGTGCCAGCAGAGTTCCATCCATCCTCGCGTCCCGTTGTGCCCGAGATCAGGGCAGAGTTGTTGGGAACAGTGGCCAACCGCCTCGGCCTCAATATTGTCCTCCACGTCTGATTTTGGTGTGGTTGAACGGAGTATGCTCCTTTTGTTCAGGTCTTTGTGGCTTGTTAATTGGATCAATGTGGGCACAATTAGCTAATTAAAAGAGCATTGGAGAAGTGGGGGGAAGTGTGAAAAGAGTAGCTGCTTTTTTGCATCACTGGCGGTGTTACTCTTGATGTGCTTTGGGTTTGCAGATGGGAGGTGAGAAGAAATCAGTTGGTCACTACAGGCTGTTGTGCCACACGTCATCCACTTCTCTGCCAAATTTCAGTGCCCAGCTCATTTAAGACATTTACCTTTCTTCTCTGTATTTACTTGCTTTCGCAAAGCAGCTTGGACTTGAGTTCACTAGGTTTTCCTAAAACAAAGTGCATTTTGTAAGTGCTGATAAAATTAGCTAACTGGTGTTGTTTGGCTTTTAGAAGTGTGAGTTAATTTATACGTGCTAGTCTTGCATTGTTAGAAGAAATGGCTTAAATCAGGGGTTGTCTGTTGACGTGCTTCTCAGCGCGGGCTCCGCTTTATTCCCGAGGATGCTTTATTGCAGGTTTGTTTCTTTACACCCCCAGATTTCACTGAGGCGTGTCTAACAACATAACTTTTGCTTGCGGTGAGATAGACGGGCCTGGGCAGCAGGGCTGCAGGCGGCAGCGACGCCGACGCTGCGTTGGAGGAGAAGGGTCTCAGGGATCATGTGAGCATCCTCACTGGGCTTCTTTGCATTCAGCAGAGTCCCTTCACCCATCTAGAAACGTTACATCAGGCACTGGTGAAAGCTGGGGTTTATGGAAACTGATGGCTTTGTCTTTCCATCCTCCTTTCTTTCATTAGAAAGAGGATAATGGAATTTTTAAGCCATAGAGTTTATATTTCTGGTGGCCTGAAAGTGGATTGATAGGGAAGCTGTATAAATACCTCTTATATCTTTCTAATATTAAGAAAATAGTGCTGTTGGGAATAGATAGGTTTTAAAGAAGAACACACACAGCGTTCAGAAGTGCTGTGTGTGCAAGGCATCTTTTTCTATCCGTTGCAAGGACGTGTGGCAGAATGTTGGTGCATACATTTATAGTGCATGCAAGTGTCAAAGATGTGATTTTGGTGAAGACTGACATGGGATGCTAAAAACCAATTGATGTTTATTAAACAATTAAGTTCCCTTTCTGCCGCATGCAGAGCTGAACAGGATTGTTTTATGACTCCAATAGATTTTCAACCTGTGTTTGTCCTAGTTTGTAAAGAAAAATCCCATGCAATGAAGTGGATGTTCTTGCAGTGGATGGATGCATGTGTTGTCTGCTAATGACAGTCTAGCTGAGGAAACAAACACTGTTGCTGTGTAGTTTGAAATGCAGAGGAAATGCATGAGTCTACTCTGAAGTAAAAAATTTCTCAAGTACTCACTATCATGCAGAACTGAATATCCATATGTTTGAGTGCTGTTGTGTAATTGTGGCCTGGAGGGAATTGGGATCTACAAACAGGGAGATACATGTGTTTTTATTAGCGAAGTTCCAACTAAATGAGCTAGGAATGCATAAACATGCCACAGTATTGTTTGAGACTGAATGAGGTTAGAAGACTTAAGATCTTCTGTTGTTGAATTGGTATCTGCATTGTTAAAGCTTGTCATTATACTTTACTTACATTTCTGTTGAGTTCTCTTCAATATCAAAGTAAAAAATAGGCATATTTAGGAATATGAGTAAGAGGGCTACAGACTTTGCTTTATCTTGCCTCTGGTGCACTGAGGGTTTGCGCCATTTGCTGCAGTGATTGAATTAGTCTTTATCCATAAGTAGAGCAGGAGACTCCAGGCAGAAGAATGCCTCCTGATGCACTTAAGGGTTGTGTTGCAGTCTCATCAGGCCTCGTGGTGCCTGCCTGCTTTTCTTATGATGCAGGGGAAACACCTTGTGGTTTGGATGTGTTTCTTTCTGAAGGGGTATTTTGTGTACAGACAAGGCATTTGAGGTGGCAAGTGTGCAGGGAGAGAAGCGCAGGTGCATTGCAGTGTTGAAAGCCCTCAGGAGGTGAAGTTTTAGCTCGGTTACAAAAGGGAGCATAGGCCCAGGCAGAGCTTTGGTTGCCTTCTGATTGCAGAGATTAAGGCTGGAAATAACAGTGGATCTGGTGGGAGCGTGGCTTGGCTAGGCTTGCAAGCAAATGTGTGCTGATTCCAGTGCCCAGCTTGTTCAGCAAAATGGCTGAGCTGCACATACAGCAGGCCCCAGCCCACCATCAGGTCAGGGGCAGCTGTCGGTTTTGAGTTTGCCACTTCCCTTACCTCCTCCCTAATGAGCCAGCTTCCTGCATCCATCACCCCACGATGGAGAGGCAGGTACAGCAGGGTTGGGCACCTGCTGAGCTCCCACAACTTGCTCACTTCTGTAGCGTTTTGTGAGATGTGTGTCGTGCTGCTGCCCTGCATCAGGGGGCTTATTGTGACTTAATTCACCCCAGCATCATTGAGGGGCAGAGGGGTGGTGCGGATGTCTCTGTTGCTTATGCAGCACCAGTGGAGTCAGCTGTTAGCTCCCATCTGATAGAACCAAGAGCTGTTTATTTGGATTTAAACAACAGTAAAAAGCACACAGTAAAAGCTGTAAGTGTCCTAACAGTTAACCACAGCCACATCATAACGACTGCCCGGCAGCCATAAATAATCATATACAGGTAACATTAACTTTTAGGGTGTGCTGTAAAGCTGTTTCCCCCCACCCTCTTGGGCTTTTGAGAAGAAGGAGTAGGCTGCAGGAGGCAAGTTGGTTATGTGGGAGTTACTGTCATTGCTGTCATTGCTGGGTTAGTTCCGGCTGTGTTTTATGGGGTTCCTGATCCCACTGGTTCAGACTGTGAGCCCTGGGAAGCAGGAGCCACTTGTCTGACTGCAGTGGCAGCAGAAGTACCTGAGTGAATGTCATCAGCAGGCAGGAACTCAGCTGAATATGTTGGGTGTAAAAGCACATTTTTGCCATAAATAAGTTTTAAGATAGCAGGGGAACTGCAGTAATTGGCTGCTTGGCGGGCCCACACATTGCTGTGCCACACCAGCCCAGTGCCACCGTTGTGCAGGGTGAAGCTTTGGTCCCATGCAGCTCTGGGACCAGAGCTAAGAGATGAGAAGTTCCCCTGTATGGCATGAAGCTGAGGTCGCGAGGTTGGCAGAAGTCACCCTGGGCCATGGCCGTACTGCAGGGCAGCAAAATGCTCCAAAGCAAAAGGCAGCCTCTGCTTGTTTGCGTGGTGGGGATCATGGTGCTGCTCTTGGGCTGCGTGTGTTCTGTGTATGTGGCTTTCACAGTAATGAAATGATTCCAGCTATAAATAATGGGTTAATGCTTTCATTCATTTGGGTTTTAAATGTATATTACATCTATGCTTTTGCCCCACATTTCGCCCAGTTCCTGTAAGTAGCGGCAGCAGCAGCTCTGGGGTTTGGTGCATAGCAATCTGTTAAGGAGATAAATAATCTGCTTTGGCATGACACTCCTACTCTCCTCTTTAATTTGTCTTACACAAGGAAAATTATAATTAAATCATTCAGGGTAAACCCTTGAGTGTAGAGAAGGAAAAAACACACTTTGGTAAAGATTGCCAATAGAGACCAACTTCCCTGTTGTGCCGTGCGGAGACATTTATCAATATTCAGCACTATTAAAGAGAGAACATTTCGTGTGATTTGTGAGGCGGATGCCAAAGCTCAAATCAAGGCTTGTTAAGATCCTTTCCCCATGCAATCATGGGCATTCAGCATCATTAGAATTCAGCACTGACTGCGTGTTTCATGCTTTGATTTTACTCAGACAATTTAATAATGTTTATTGTGCTGATTATATATATAAATTCACTCAATGCAATAAACATACCTCAGACATCAGTACCCTAAGGGAAATATTTAGTTATAGAAACTTGTATTCACTCAGGATAAGCAAAAGTGAGACCATAGTCAGCATACAAACCTCTCATCATCTTATCAGCATTTGGTTTACTTCAGTAACAAGCATTTTCTCTCTCATAAGTAAATAAATACATATGGGCAGCCAGTTAGGTACATCTGCTGTGATTAGCAATGTCAAGGACAGGACCGTGTCATTCCGTCCTGTCTTCCTTAGGAAAAGCTTGTTCATTTTCATAGGAAAAGCACAAAACAGAACTGATGGATGTGTGATAACTTTGAGGTGACCGTGGCCTTTATAAGCTCAAAATTACGTCCCAAAATCTCCAGCAATTCCGTGCTTGTCCCCTAATTGTTTGTGTCCGTTCCTACCCTACTTGAGCCTTGACCTAGGCAAGCGGACATCTCAGGGAAGATGGATGAGATAAGCGAAGGGGTTTTTAAATCACTTCTCCTTGAGAGGTGCTGCAGGAGGAAGGAGTCCAGAGAAAGCTCCGAAGGGGAGCAAGGTGTGGGCATGGCAGGCCATTGATCCGCTGCCTCGGCTTAGTGCTTTGTGTCGTGCTGTTGCTATCTTCCGTGCCAGCTGATCCTCCATCAAAATCCCAGGGCCCTTAGATGAGGGCATTAGGATTGGGCACAATTAAGAAGTACAGATTTTGGTCCGTTATTAATGCTTGGGATGAAACGGTTCAGCCTGCAGTCTATATGCTCCCCTCTTCTCCTGGCCGGCAGTCCCTGGCTCATTCTGCTCTGGTGCCAGCATCACATTGCTCGGCCCTTCCGGCTCCTCACAGCTGCTGGGCGATGTGGGCTTGCTGAGCTCTGCCCTCAGCACAGCTTCTCTGGGGAGGTTTACTTCAGATCCAGAATCGGTCACGTGAGGCCACTTGCATCAGTCTGTCCGGCAGATCTTCTGTCACCCGGTGGCTTTCAGAGAGTTGTTCTACTAAACCCTGGGAACTCAGTTCTAGTTTACTTGATGTCTTTTTCCCCAGT